TTTCCCAGTCCACTGTCTGTCACAGGTAACAGATGTTTCTCATGCCACATTACTCTACCAATGCCCCATAAAAGTTGAGTTGATGTATCATCTTTTTGTTTTAATTGTAGATCATACAACAAAGAGTTGACCTTATGAGGGAGGCAAAGCATGTCTGGACCTTCAGAGAACTCTTCCTTATTGACCTCTGTGTGGGCTGCAGACACAGCCAAATGCTCAGGCCAATTGCCACAGCAACAATAATATCTGGCGATTAAAGACAAAAGATAAGCTAAGCTGCTGGGTGTCTGATTCTTGCCATTCGTGATATGAATATCCAAAGGGAGGGTGGTCCCAAAGGGAGGTCTGTTTAAGGTCTGAAGTTCAGTGAGGAATCTGCTTCCCCTGAGAAGATCCTCAGAGATGTGTTCAACAGAGAGGTCCAAGTGAACACTTCACATTGCCATCTTATTTTGCTTATCTCAGATCCTGAAAGGAAACTTCATTATCATAGTGTGACCCTCTCGGTAATGATGATTGATCAAACAATATGCAGTGTTGAGAAACATTTGCTACTTCGGAAAGCAGTTTTACTTCAGGCTCCACAAATAAATGAGTGTTTAAGCTATGCCATCAACTGACCATAAAGGGGAAAACCAGTTGGATTTTATAGCCATTGTTGTAGGAAATATCAACAGGCAGCTGAAATGTCACCTTCGGGGACCTGCCAAATGTACAAGGGTACCAGGTTTCCAGGAATGAGAGATAAGCTGCTATTTGAAATCACTGCTAGATCTATTGCAGTGAGCTGTGTGACTGGGTAATAAATGGATGAACGTACATGAATTGGAAGCAGTTCTGTGAACCTTACACTGTAAATATGGGGGAAACACATACTAGAGATTTACATTTGATTTTTCAAGACCACCTTCTATTTCAACCAACAATATTGGGAATAATAGAATGTAAACAAAAAATACCACAATTTCCCATCCTCGGGGGAACATATTGGCCTAATAATAAAAGCAGCCTCTAGAAAGACATTATGAATACAGAAGGCCAGAGCCAGCTGCCAATAGAAGTGGGACAATGAATGCAACCATTATGCATCAAAAGGAAAGTGTTTGTAATGGTTTACAACGTTACTTTCTGAGGGTGTGCACATCCTCAGTCAATGCAAATTTAGAATAAGTTCAATTGCATCAAATAAACCATGCAAAATATTGTGGCTTGATGTTCTTGTCACTTCCACAGCGGAAGGAACAACCTAGAATGCAGGCTGTGCGGGAAAACCCCTCGTGAAGAAGGTTTATTAGGACTCACACAGCTGACAGCAGACGCAAGTAGGCAACAATGACCAGACAAGGAACACTGGACTGAGAAACGCTAATATGCTAGGCTAATGAGGAGAAAACACAAGGCAGCTGTGAATGATCAACAGGAGGGCAGGAACAAGAGGTAAGACCAACAGGCCATAGGTGTGCCTGATTTGGAGTCACTCCCAAGGGAAAACACAGGGATTATACAGGTGGAGTGGGCTGGATGTGACAGTTATACAATGGTTAAATGTGAATGACATCATTATGGACCACAAGCAGACCACCACTGTGTCCAGCCCTGTGTGAAAAATGTGGCTTTATTAACTTTATTAATGAGTACATTGTAGAACATATGCACAGTGAAACCATCGTTCTTCCCTAAAGGCAAGTATCCAGAAGTATCCACCGTTGTGTTCTTGAGCAGGACCCTTAACCTCAACTGCAACCAGGGCATTGTATACTTACTGCCCCTATGCTCTGACCCCCAAAACTGCGTTTCTCATGGAGAGCAAGTTGGAGTTTAAAAAAAACCCAAAGAATTCCTATGTAAATTATACCAATGGAATCTATTGAAGCAATGGTACCACAGATTCACTGGAATCACCAAGGCATTACAAAAGATTTACACGATGGCAATAATATAAACTGTATCGCACAGTATCATTCCACAATAGATTCAGAAGCTAATATTAGTAAACACAGAGCTCTGCGCAGATTTGTCCGAATCCCAGAGAGGGCAATAGTTGAATTTTAAACACCCAAGTATTTTTATAGCAGCCGATAAACAGCATTGCACTTTACTTTGGATAATGATAATGTTCAGCTCCTTTGCCTAATGAGCTAAAATGACTTAAAAAAGGCTAGCATTAGGTAATCATTTTCATACTAGAGCTCATTCACCCCAGGAGAAAGGATTACTTGTCATGCCGGGGCTGGAGCCTTCAAGTGGGCAATGTAAAAATGGAAGGTGCTCCTGGAGTGGGTGGCAGAGACAGGCAGGCCCCCTGGGACACTTCATCTCAGCAGACACTGGCTGTCGCAGCAGGTAGAGAGCAGGGAACAGATCCATTGCCCTTTACTCAGTAGAAGAGGGAAGACTTTGAATAACAACATGCTGCACAGAGCCCTGGTTATGCATGAAGCCATTCGGCTGATTTTGGGGGAATATAACTGAGGGTGACTTAACCGTTTTGTTGTCAAGCTTCCAGTCAGCTCTCGCTTCCTCGAGGCGCCATGACGGCGCAGGGTCCCCCGCCTGAACATTCCTGCTACTGATTAACACGTGTGCGTTCACACGGTGCTGTCTGCGGTCCCCCGGCCCCGGCCCGCAGGGAACGCCGCGCCTGTCATCGGCGCAGGACCGCCACCGCAAGGCTGTGTTCTCACCAGCCATCATTATCCGCGCATAATGAAGCTAATGCATGCCGTTTATCCACAATGGCCACCGGAGTCTGTTAAGACATAATGGATCTGGCACTGCGAGCAAAAGTCGGCTGGTTGAAGTGCGAGAAACTGCTCCTTTAACACAGGCAGTCCGACTACTGCAGCCAAGAGACCCAGCTGTATAAACCTATATATATGCCACTGTGCGGGTATATATTCCACTCTACATACAGTATATTTTTACATGAAATAACCAACAGGAAATTTCATAAAAATAATGCCAGCTAAAATAACTACTGTACTCAGTTCTTATCACAAGTTTTCATTTATTGCCCTTACTATGAGATTACAACACAGTTCACAAAGCCTGGCAAAACTTTTATTTTTTTTACATGGTATTCTACCTTTATCACTACAGATACCAGATAATTTCAGCACACAGATAAATTGAGATAAGACTGGGACTTGCTTTTCTTATTCTAGCTCATAATCTATAAAGCTCAACATCAGTTACATGTATCTTCTCAATGATAAATTGGATCAGTGGGTGGATATTGGGGAGGAGGTCCTGCGGTCCAGCAGCAGGAGGCAGGTGACCACAGTTACCTGTTTTAATTTGCTCTCCTCATTTGGTGTTTACTATAAATTAGTGTATTCTGCTTTGGCCCCAGGAATCTGGACCACATTGTTGACTCCTATGCCAAGAAACCCTGTAAACACCACATGTTTGTTTTTGGATTTTCCCCCCTATCACAATGTCAGTGAAATATTGATTGATTTTTTTCAGAAAAGGAAACATTATGGTTTTGTTTTTGCCCACATAAGGGTTGTGACTGTCTCATTGTTACAGTTTGTGCCCGACGACAGGTAATTTGACACTAAAACCTTGGTTTGTCACGAAATCCACGTCAAGCAGTTCTGTTCACTATTCCTTGTGCTGCCACAGTACCCACTGCACATTATCTGTGGATGTTGGATCGTATATAAACACAATCATTAAAGCACTGCCTGAATAGTAGTACACAACTGGGTCACTAGCCTCACTGTAAACGGGACTTGCCACACACTTTTGACACCAGACATGAGTATAGCTTCTCTAAAGACTATTTAAGATCTAGCTGACTTTAAAATGAAACCCAGGCTTGGCAAAAACACTGCATAAGGAAAGGCTGATGCTGGGAGTCTAGAGGCCCAGAACATGTTCCATCGTGGATTTAAATTGAAACCAAAATAGCTGGAAGAATTAGTCCTTTGAAAAGTGCCATGTACATACACATCTGACTTCAAGCACAGGCAAAACCCACATCACCTAGTCAAGGAAAGAAATTAGCCCATCCTTAACCTCAGCCTGCAAAATACTGATTAGGGTCCCAGCAGACAGTTTCCGGCTTGATATCTTAACTTGATCCTACAATAATTATTATTATAATTAAAGGGAGAGACAGGAATTCAGTCTTTAAAGTGGGCGAAACGGTGATGGCACTTTTCGCAGTACCAGACAGGTTGGAGGCTGTATGGCTTGAGAATGTTCCTTCCACACCGTTTGTCACAGCTGACAGAGTGAGGGGCATCAAGGGGTGAGACGACCCTAGCAGGACCCAACTGGGGCAGCACAGAAGGGGGGATATGCTAGACTTTCCACTCTGTCCTCGTTATTCTTCCACACAGCCTCTTCCGCATCCATTTTTCCCCAAAAGCAGTAACCTTCATTTCTGGATTCCGCATGAATGTCCTACCTTGAACATTTCATAATGCCCACCTCACACACACACACACACACACACAAATACAAATACACTGTCGTCTCCCTATTTGCCTACAGCAGGGGATGATATAAGTGTAGGGTCGGCCAAGACAGGATGTGTGTGTGTCCACGTGTGAGGGGGGGGGGTGATTTCCATGACCCGGCAAGTTAATGATACATAATGCGCATGATGGGCTGTCTCCTCATCCGAGACAAACTGCACACGTGGGATTACCTGTCGCAACCTGACTCTGGTCACATTTGCGGCAAAACTGAACTCGCCAAATGCAGGCCTTTCACAGAGGAAAAAAAAAAAAAACACGTAAACCCCCACAGCTCAGAGGGAAAGCAGAAAGCTCCAGGGACAGAACTGTCCCTTCATCTCCAGACTGGCGATCACACGATAATAAAGATGTACACATAAGTGATTACACACACACACACACGCACCAAAAGCCAACCACAGATGCAGGGAGGCACACACGCACACACACACACACACACACACACAGAGGAGCAAACACTCCCTCTCTCCCTCTCTCGCTCACTCAGTCTCGCTCTCTCCCTCTCCTTCCCTCCCTCCCTCTCTCCCTCCCTCCCGTACACACACCACTACAGCATATCAGCTAGCGACTAAACGGGAGCCGGAGGGGAGAGCAGAAATGAATGTGAAGATTCTGACGCTGGCGCTCATGCTGCTGCTGTCTCTCCTGTCCGTTGGCGGTGCTGGTAAGTCCTGGGGAGAGGCGATTGGGCAGGTGGCTTTTGGCCTCCGTCCCCCCCGGTGCATTTTCTAAGCCCACGTTGCGGCTCCGGGTTCCGGCTGGTGCTCGTTGTTGACAGGTTCCCTGGCGTTAGCCCTCTACGCTCCTACCTGAGCTGGACGACCACCTGGCCTTCACAGTCTGCTGCAGTGCAGTGGCTCTTACTGTTGTTGTTTCTCGCTGAACTTTGATTTTGCGGAATGCTGAAATTGCTCAACTTGTGTAAGACTGGAGATGCCGTCTGTATGAAATGGCAAACAACGTGGCTTTGAGTGTCACCATTTAATTATGTCTTCTGTGCAATATATAAGTATTAGTACAGTCAACCCTGAGATTACCAAGACTTATCTGAATATTGTATTATTGTTTGTAATACTGTGATAATAGTGATGGTTGATTATGTGCATTATGTGAAGTCTTGGAAAATTAACTGAAATATAAGAAATAGCTGGAAGGATGGTCATTGTGGTAACTGATACATAACCCTCTTTTAATGTATATTAATGTATATCGTGTAGACAATTCTGTTTTGGTTTTAGTAGAGTTTAAGGATTGTACATTTATTAAGGCTGAAAAGGAGATTCAGTTGCATTCTTTTGCTATAGTGTTTTGGTACTGCAGCTATGAGACTTGATTTCACGTAAGACTTGGGAATAAAATATATTCCTGAGCATTTTAAAAATGCAAGAAGCAATTATACAGAAGGCAGGGGGCAATTCATGAGGCAGTGTCAGTGTAACTGGATAAAATATGAGGGCAGGCTACCGGGCATCCTGCAGATTCCATGCAGGTAACAGTTTAGTGTAAAAAACAGCATCAGAGCTCACTGTTGTAAATCCCTAAATTTCTACAAAGACTGGCACCCATTTGTGAACAGCCATTGTGTAGCAAGTGCTAGTGTGTCTGTTTGTGTGTGATAGAGTGTGTGTGTGGCGATGATTCTCCATCGTGTGTCAGCTATCAAGCTGGGATGTACAGCATTTCCTGGTACCCATGCTTCAAAATGCATTCGCGACACGGGGGCTATTTTTATCTCCATACATGAACAAACAGGAAATGATTAGCCTGCATTACGGTGTCCTTTTCCACAGAGCACTGCGCGTTTCAATGCACATGTTCCGTGCTAGCGAGCATCCCCACCCTGCCCCGCCCCCCACGCGCTTCGTTACAGCTGAAATGTGACAAAGTGTCGGCTCTGGGCTACGGGGAGCTTAGCATGCAGCGGGGGGCGTCCGTTGCCTGTTACGTTGTCGAGGAAGCTCGCGTCTGCCTGAGAGGCAAGAGCATGGGCGGTGCACTGTCGCGGGAAACGGCTGCCTGCCAGTGCTGGGGGGTGGTGGTTGGTGGGGGGGGAGGCGGCATTTGCTGAAGTACGCAGCAGGCGTGTAGTCCTTTTATCTCCGAGACAAACGCTTTTCCAGTTCGCTGAGAGTTTACAGGGAGTCGAGAGCTATTTCAGTCCTGTTTGTGTGCATGCGTGTCAGTGTCCCCGGTCTCAGTGCTCCAGAGATGGGAGCACAGGCTCCACGGAGGGAGGAGACGAAGTGCAACAGGCGACGGCCACCCATGCAAACGTGTCGTCGGGGGGGTGAGCGGCACTGAAACGGTCAAAGCAAAAAAGACAGCAGCGATCTCAGAAATGTCACTGTTTACTCTATTCCAAACATCAGCTACTCAAACGTATTAGACAATTAGCATCCAGCTAATTCTGCAGAATGCAGCTTTGAAATTCATTAATGTTAGAGTTCGTAAACCCTGACGTCTTCAAACGTGAAAATTATGATCCCTCAACTGGAGTCTCTATTAGCTACACTCTGGCTGCTCAGAGCCACGGAAACACACAGCACGTCCCCGAGCACCCAGTTTCAGAGCAGGAAAACAACACACACGCTCGCTCGTGTGCACGCACACACACACACAGACACACACACGTTCTAACACTGAGAGGCACACACACACACACACAAACAGTCATGCAGACGCTCACACGCTCAAAGAGCCCCTGAGATATCTAATTTTAGCTGCTGGGCCGAGTCCTCACTCCAGTCACAAATGAGCAGGTGAGATGTGTGAGACACAGAGAGCTTGGAACTGTGTTGTTGTCTATAAGGCAGAGTGATGTATGTGTATGTACCTATTTGTGCGCTTAATTGAGAAGCAACTTATCCTCTCGTGTCATCAACATACAACAGAGCTGCATCTCTGACTGGGGTATCACTCACAGACATGTACAGGTGCACAGAGGGACAGAAAGAGGCTGGTAATATAGATTTGGGGCTCATTAAGCAATGACAGCCACACAGTGTTTCCTTTCACAAAGGGCTAGGATGTCTGGTGAAACGACAGCAGCAGGCCGAGTGCTAACTGCACACAGGAAACATACATCATAGCGCCAATGTCAGAGTTCCGAGCCACGATTACAGGGGTTCGGCTGTTATATGGCCTGGGGAGGGAGGTGTCATGGTAACACCATGCCACTTTTCTAACCCCCTCCCTGCCTTCTTAATCCCCCACACACACCTACATGCAATTAAAAATGGGCTAGAGGTTCGGGTTAAGCAGCTGGAAGGACAGTCTGTTAATAGGCCATTGGGTGAATATCCCATCAATTTAATTAATAAAGGGCAATATTTATGACTGGCACTCTGTCCAGGATGTACCCCTGCCATGTGTCCTGTGTTGCCTACAGTCCAGGCTCCCAGTTATCCTGACCAGCATAAAGTGTCAGATAGTGGATGGATGGATGGTTGATGGATGGATGGATGGATGGAATACTTTAAGACTAGGTTTTCACCAAGCAAGACGGGGCAGCAACAGATATAATTATTAACATGATACTTGTTGCTATTGCTGATATTGTACATAATCACAACAACCAGCCTGGTGAATGTTCTGGAATGTGTGACCGCTGTGGGAAAATTGGTATCAGTTAGGATATTGAATGAATCACCTGGGCCAGCTGGGCCCCATGTATTATACAGGAGATGATAGGCAAAGATGGGAGGAGAAGGAGAACAGGAAAGGGAGATGACAGGCAGGCTCATGTCCTCTAGGCATTCAGTGGCAAAAGAGAGCAACAGATGAAATATTAAAGAGACGTATAATTCACAGCTGGTGGTCTCACTCTGGTCAAGCTGGAGTAAGATTTCAGCACCTAGCTCTACTTTCTGGCCTCGTTCGCTGTCCCAAGCACTTTGCTCATTGTGCTTCCTCATTCACAGAAGCTTAATTAAACCCAGACATCACAAATGCCTTGGTGTTCCCACCTGGATCCAATATTAAAATGATTTATCACTCTCCTCTTCAACAAAACGCAGGACATGTATACAGTTATGGCCAATCGGATTCCATCCAAATGGACATTTTTATTAACAGCTGGCCTGGCTGCTGTGTAAATATTTTCACTCACGGAGTGATTGTACTTTAATTACTTTTACAACATGTCAAAATATATAATTTGCTGATAGGTTTTTCTAAACCTCATTCACTTGCCTCAACAACTCAAGTAGGTTTACTGCATAAAAATGTTATTTCATGTAGTCCCCCAGTGCCAGGTACAGGCACAGCCTGCCGTAGCGCTGGGGTGACTTGGGAAACCATGATGTGAGCGGGAAATCCCAAAACTCAGGCACCTCTTTCTGTTCGCCAGATTGTTCTCAGCAAGAAAAAAAAACCTCAAATCTAAGTGGACCGCCTGACGATGATGAGAGTGGGGAAACTGAAATGTGAGAAAATGGAAATGAGCAAATAGCCCATTTCCCCAGAGGGTCTCCAAGGCTACAGCACAGAAACATTTCATGATGAGTTTGCAAATGTATGCTTTCTTTCGGTTGTTGTGGTTGTTTTTGCTGTCAAATCCTTTCCTGGTTAATTTGTTCTTTTCCTGTTACTTCAAGGACTCAATGTCTATATTATAAACCACACTGCAGTGATGAGCAGGAGTACCTACACTGGACAAACATCTGAGTTGTCCCTTTCTGTTAGCTATGGCAGGAATGACACAGAATGGTCCTACTCTATATTCTCAGAAACAGAGAAATTAAATTAATGCCTTACTCCTGTACTCACCAATAGGAATGTGGGTTCTGAAAATTTAAGCCCACAAAAGACCAGAAATTTTACACAGCATTCCAGCATATCTGCATTAAATCTACTAAAAACATTTAATTCACATTTGAGCCAAAGCCTTCATAATTTATAGCTAGTAAAGGCAATACATGTAATTCATAAACACATACTTACAAAAGTCAAACAGTTTACTCAATAAATACTCAATTTAAAGAGTTGGTCACATACACAACACAACATACACAATATACACAAATCCGTAAATGTGTTTCTTAAAACATATCATAAAGTGGGACACATTCCTCTATTAACCTACTTTCTGTGATAAGCATCCAATGGGTATTTAAGATTTAGAATTACTTGTTTGCACTTAACCCTGCAGCACAATATCTATCATTACCTGAAAGTGTTGAGCCAGGGTCTAGCCTAATTGTCAAAAACATTGTACATTATAAAGGCACTTTATGTGGATTTCCAAATCATGGATTATTTTACAGGGAAGGGAAATTCTTGAGAGTGTGCAAGTGAGTCAGCAAACAGGGACCTCAGAGAAGATTCAATTATCCTGACCCATGTAACAGGAGTAAACATGAAGCACCCTTTTAGCACCCACTAGATGTTAAAACCCCCATCTTTTCAAGCTCCTAAGAACAAACTTCACACAAAACACTATTTAGGGAGAGTCAATTTTCAGGTTCACCTGTACCAGGAGCTCAAAAGGCAGAGGTCAGTGTGGAAAACATAGATCTTGTGGTGCTACAGCAGCTGAGCTTGTTTTTCTCAACTGTTTCCTCCCCACAGAGTAAGAGATGCAGGTACAATTCGCAGCGAAGACTTGGAGCGGGTGTAGGGTTAGGGTTAGGGGTTAGGGGTTAGGGTTAGTCCAATCTGGGACGG